TTGGAAGGATACCCCTAAAGGCCCATGTATCCGCCACTACGTCTACCTTTCCATCTTCCTCTTCTACAACCGCCACAACAAGGGCCGCAAGAAGGTCCTCCCGGGCCTCCTCGGCGAGGTCGTGCTTTCAGTGTCATCATCAATACACAGAGTGCTTTGTCCAGTCACCGACGGAGAATTGATCGAGCTCCATTGATACGACACTGTTCTTCTCGGCCGACGATCTATACTCTGTTTTTCTATTAACAAATTACAAGGGGATGAGATCGGGACACTAGCTTCTGCTTGCAAAAGACGACATGCTATTCGGTTTCCTAGATGCCGGCGGGCAGCTCAGAATCGCTGGGATCTTGAATTCCCCCAATTTCTGTGTTTGGCACTCCTCGTCGCTATAATTGACGATCTCCTTCTCCACTGGATTATTCCGACCTAAATTATCATTCAGAACTACAACGTCGTCTTTGCCGCCGTCGTTGCAAGCCTGGGGAGTGCCCCGGAGACTGATCCCGACTCAAATTTTGGGCAAGCTGGGCCGGGAATCGAGAACGGCAGACTTGGCGTTTTTTTGTTTATTAACAAAGTAAGTGGAATGATGAGGTGGAAATTTAAATTAATATTTTTAATTTCCACGTCATCTAGTTAACGGTAAACTTTATAGTTGACTGACGTAGGACAAATTTAACGGAGTGTAACGGCCGGTGACTAATGGTGAAACTATTCATAAAGTTAGTGGCAAATAAGAAAGAAAAGTAATTCGGGTGGCAAACGTGAAAGATTTGTATAATTTGAGTGACCAAACGTGCAATGTAGCCCGTTTTAACATATCAATCTTACTTTAATTGTTTTGATTTTAGACAATCTGACCAAATTAATCTGTTTGGCAACATAAAATGTAGATGAAGCAATTCTGCCTGCAAAATTTCGTTTTTCTTCTGTATAATATAACCCTCAAGTTAAAAAATACTCGCCAAATTCGCTCATCATAACGAAAATAATCAAATATACATGACATGTGTTTCAGTAACGGTTTACTTATATGCTTATTCGATTCAATATGTAACATACTTGAACAAACTTTAAAATTGGAGACTATAATATATAAAAGATATAATACATGTATTTGTTTGTTGAAATGAATAATACAAGCGCCATTGGTGGCATTGGCTTAGGAGCTGTGTTTCGGAATCATCACAGCCATTTTCTTGCGGCTGCAGTGAAAAAGATACGTGGGACTTATGAGGTGGAAATGGCGGAAGCTCTCTCTGCGGAATTTAGCATACAGCTTGCGCATCAGCTTGGCTTCCAACATTTGCAGCTGGAACTTGACTGTCTCCCGTTGGTTGAAAAGTTTCGACGACCAGAAGGTATCCAGACTGAACTTGAGCTCATAGCTAAACGCATCGGCGACCTCCTGCAGGCGACGGGGTCGAATACTAATTGTATCTCCCATGTGAGGCGATCGGCGAATAATGCAGCGCATATTATGGCACACAGTGAGACCCGTTGGGATAGTAGAGAAGTGTGGGTAGACAAAAACCACCGATTTTCCTTATCGACCAACTTCGGTTGGATGATGTAACCGCTGGTTCTTAATTAATATACGTCTGCAGGTTACCTATAAAAAAAATGAATAATACAAGAATGTATCTGCTAACATGGAATCTATAATATATTTAAAGCAATTCATGGGTTGGAATTGTCTCATTTCAAATTTCGTGACCCGAGAGTAATTCTAGGAAGATTATTTTTGATATTTCACCCAATTCATCTTTATATATTGAAAATGTCATTATTAGGATTTGAACCATGGTCACTTAATTGAAGACAAGGCATTATAACTAGGGGTGTGCAACGGGTCGGTCCGGACCGGACCAAACTCATGAGGACCGCAGTCCATTAGTGAAATACATCTTAGGACCAAGGACCGGACCATCATTGCATTCGGTCCATTAGGGCCGGTTCGGTCTGGTCCAAATATTAGCTCAGTCCATCATTTCTTCAGTAATTATAAAATTCATATGGACCAAGGACCGGACCACATTATACTCGGTTGGGTGCGGTCCGGTCCAAATTTCAGTTTGATCCAGTGTTGTCCGGTACAGACCGAACCATTGCACACCCCTAATTATAACCAACTAGGCTACATTATATTTATTGGTATTTTTTTATTATTAAACTCTAGAATATGTTTAGTGATAAGTGTACGTGGGCACTGGGTCGGCCTACCCATGGACTAGCACGACACGAGCATGAACATGAAATATATAGGCAATCCCGGCATGAGGTGGATCGTGTCGGGTCTAATATTTTCATATCTTATTGATGAGTGTAAGAACGAACATGGCACGAAATAATATTTATTTGATATAAAATTAATATAGAAAGAATTAATAATCTACAAAAGATATAAAGGCAAAAATGGGTTGGCTTTTTAGGGATTCAAATTTCTAACCACTAGAGAGCTTTGCGGAGGGGTAAGCATGTCATTACATGTGGTTCATTTCACCATTTTTTGATGTGTCAATAAATTTGTAGGCCCATGCAAGGTAAACCTCACTATACATTTTCATTCTTCATATAAATAAAATAGTTCGAAGCAATGTCGTCATAAGCGCGATTCTATGTAGAAGCGGTTGGGTGACCTAGAAGCGTAAAACCGTAAGCTTTAAAGCGTATATTTTGACTACATTTGTAAGAGAAAATCACGATTCTACGTAGAAACGTTTTGGTGACCTAAAAATGTAAAAGCGTAAGCTTTTAAGTTTTAAAGCGCGATTTTGACTGCATTGGTTTGAAGAATGAACAAACTCTATACTCATAGTATAGGTTGAATGAATTTTGGCTTTATCATTTACAATAACTAGTACATTTATAATATCATGATGTTTGAAATTTTTTCTATATTGTTTAGAAGTATACTCATTATTTGTCTCATTAGTGGTAGTAGGTTTCATATGGTATTCTAAGTTGAGTACTGAGTGCATTGATTGTGTGTCTTTTAGCTTGGTGGTAAGAATAGGGATACAGTTATTCATGCAAATGTTTATAGCTGTGGATTTAAAAAAATTAATTTATGTTAAAATATCTACACATAGTATTAGGCAATCATACACATTGTCATCAATTGCAGCACACATGATCCAAATGACCATATATATTTTCAATACTCATGACTACTTTTTTCTGAAATCATGAATTTTTTTTATAAAATTATATTTTCACAACAAGTAATTATATGTTTGTAGAATGAAGTATTTTATTTAATTAAAATATTAAAGAAATACTTAAAAAAATTAAGATGTGGTCATTATAATTGCCTTTAACCATTCTCATATGCCAATGTAAGCTATATCAAGCACAAATTTGTTTGGAGATATATATTTGTTAGTAATGAATTAGTATTTGATAATTTATATTTTTTAATTATTACATTTAGATTGATTTTTTACGATATAGTTAGAACAAAGCAAGTGGTAAATTTTAGCTTCCTATATTACTAATTAGTAAATCCCTTGAAGTTTGTAATGACTATTAAGCCCGATGATTAGTTTGGTGTGATTGGTCATTTTCATATAGAATTGTGGAATCTATGTGAGTTTGTGAGTTTCATTATATCTCCAACTTTGGCAACGACCATTTTTAGTGACAAGGAGTCGAGATTGGAGTGGTTGCAGACCAATATGGAGGTTATTTGAAAGTTGTTTTTAGGGGTCTACCCCAATATTGTTTACTCTTTCCCATAACAAAATGAAAAATTCTGAATTATGCCATGAAAATATGTTCCCATAAGCAAGAAATGCAGTAACGCTTGACAGATTAATCAATTTATCGCTTGGTGGAATCATTGAATTAGTAGTGCTCCCGTTAATGCAATGACATTATAAAAATTTGTCTTTGAAAGTACCTGTAAGATAAATAGATGAGCTATTATTAGTGTGAGCATTTCATTTAGTTCAAGTACAATTTTTTATATGCCTCGTGTTTTATTCCTTAAATGTTTGAACTTTATTTGAGGCTAGATTTGATGAATCCGTTTATGTAATTGCTTAGGGCTTTTTTATGAACTTATATATCTGTTGAAATTTAAATTGTTGTTGTTTGTGAGAGACCACTAATGAACGTTCCATAAAAACTTGGGCTTTGATAGATTGATTAAAGTGCTTGCTAATTTGGGACATGGAATAGGCTGAACAAATTTAATTAGTTGTGATACCAAGTAAACATGGTAGTGGCTGTGTTGTTCTTAGTTGTCACATGAGTTCACAAATGAACTTAAAGGATAACTTCAGTATATGTGACAATTGAATAGTTAAATGAGATGGAGTTTTACATATAAATATAAGTGGGGAGTTAGGAATAGATTTGGAGGCTGTATTAGGTGAAATTTGAGTTCGTTTATTTATGTGATGAGAGTTAGCATTGACAAATTTTTCTTTGTACCAATGTTTCAGATAATAATTAATTGAAGCTTTTCGAAAGCATTAACCATCATATTTTCCATCAAAGGACAATACTTTTATTTTATAGTGAAGATCAACTATGTATGTATCATAGGAAGCAACTCTCATATTGTCATTTATGGACTTTTTTTTTATATAAGCAACATTTTGTTTGTAAGCATATATGTTACTATTAGTTGCATTTTCTTTGTTAATCATTTGGTATTTCTCATGTTTCAATGCGTTCAAAGCATATAAAGTAAAAGAATAGTTTGAGTATTGTGTAGAGATTTATGACAAAATAAAAAAAACATATTAATAATGTGAATGACACATACAAATTATATAATTATCCATCTTTCTGTCAAACTGGCCGGACATTGTGATAGTAGTATGTATAAAGATTAAAGACTAATGGTTCATAATTTTGACCAAGTGTTCACTCCGCCCATCAAACCTACCAGAACCAGCCCAAGCCCAGGACCAGAACCAGCCCAAGCCCACAAACAGAGAGCCACTAAGTAGTGTCCGAGGACAAGAAGCTGTGCTTTTCTTCTCGTTGTTTGATTCTCCTTTCTCCCATTTGTTGGCTACTTGCAATCCCCGCGCCAACCAGCAGCGGCAGTGCTTCTCGTTCTCTCCTAAACCCTAAACCCTAGCTGACCAGTAGAGCTAGCAACACGAAGAAACGCTCACTAGGGAGTTCTTGGTCGGACCAGCTTCCTCTATCTGAATACGGTACGAATTTCCCAGTTCAATCTTGAACGTCTCTCCCAAGCTCTTCCGGTGTACGTTTTTTTTTCCTTGGCTGGGTTCCAGTTTTTCATGTGTTGTTTAAAGTTTCGTTCTTTCTAGGTCTGATGTCTCCTGCTGCACTTAGCAAGAAGAAGGGCTTAAAATCAAGCCTGTCTCCTGCCGCACTTAGCAAGAAGAAGGGCTTAAAATCAAGCAAAGGCCCACCTAAGAAGAAGCAAAAGGGCGATCTTTTCACCGAGAAACGCCCCAAAAAGGCTGACATTTCGGACGATTCCGACGGCTCAGATGAAGAAGTAAAGGAATTGGTAAACTTTGATGGAGACGAGGAGGGTTCTGATTCTGGTTCTGACCTTCTGTCTGGGGACGATGATCCTCTAGCTGATGACTTCCTGCAAGGAAGTGATGATGAAGGTACTAATTTTGCTGAATCCTCCTGCTTCCTTCCTTCAGGTTCGATGACACAGGAAAATGGAATGCTTCATATTTGTTGACATCTGGTTATATGTGATGTGGTTTGGTGCAGAAGAAATTTCTGGCTCGGATTCTGGTGCTGGTTCAGACGGTTCAGACTCTGATTCAGATGACTCTGATATTGAGCGGAAGTCTAGAGCTCTGGATGAACGTAGAGCAAGGGAAGAAAAGGACGCAGAGGAAGAGCTGCAAACCAATATTGCTGAGGAATCGGACGAGTTCCGGCTTCCAACCGAGGAGGTCTGGAGCCACTTTTCTGTTTTCTGCTAATTCTACAAAATTTTGAATGTATTGGTTTCTTCTGCTGGCTTCACTGATTTTGAATGTCCCTACTAATGTCATATCAGGAACTCGAAATTGAGGCAAATCGCCCTCCTGATCTTCAGAATCTCCAAAGACGAATCCAAGAGAGTAAGATGTACTCTCTTTTCAGTTCTAACCTTTGTTCTTTGTCTGTTAAGGAGAGCAATTGCCAACTAATTCTTTTGTTGGTTTACAGTTATTAGAGTGCTTTCAAATTTTAAAGATTTGAGGCAGGAAGGAGCGAAGAGGAAAGATTATATTGAGCAGCTTAAGTTGGATCTAAGTTCTTATTATGGCTACAACGATTTCCTTATGGGAGTTTTGATAGAGGTGATTCAAGTTTTTGGTTGACTTGCTAGAATCATTAATTTTTTTCATTTTATCTTAAATCTTATGCGATTGGATTGTTTCTTACTATATGTTTTGTTTAACTTTCAGATGTTTCCAGTTAATGAACTTAAGGAACTTATTGAAGCTTTTGAAAAGCCAAGACCTATATGTTTACGAACAAACACTTTGAAGGTGAGAAATGCCTGAAATTGCTTGAACCAGTTATGTGGCCAGTTTTCTTGCTTCTCCTTATGCTCATTGGTTTATTGTGGCTGAATCTGCTTAGACAAGAAGACGTGATTTGGCTGAAGTCCTGTTGAAAAGAGGAGTGAACTTAGATCCCTTGAGCAAGTGGTCAAAGGTAAGAAACTGTTGCTGGTATTTTTGTGTGTTATAGTGTATGTAATTGTCAACTGATGATGTTAATATGTAATCAGGTCGGACTGGTTGTGTATGATTCACAAGTGCCAATTGGGGCCACTCCTGAATATATGGCTGGGCTCTACATGGTATTTGTGATTTGTGTACCTTCATATTCTTCCTCTTGCCAGTTTCCTGAGTTATACAGTTATAGATTATGACTTAATAACTGTTTGATGACAGCTACAAAGTGCAAGTTCATTTTTGCCTGTTATGGCGCTTGCTCCCCAAGAAAAGGAGCGGATTGTCGACATGGCGTAAGTAGTAATTGTTATGTTTCTTTTTCTTCTTGGATTCTGATGAACTGATTGTATAACTTGTCAATTCTTTCTTGAGTGGTTTATCTATCTATTCAAATTATACAAAAAATGTGAAGATATCATCCTGATCAATGGGAACAAATGTGCTCTGCCGTTCAGTTACGATGTGAAAATTGTTTTGGATGATTGCTCGCATTGCCTTCAAGCTCGTGCTTTAGTGCTAAGCTGTTCTATTACTTTGTGTTAAATTGCAATTTTTGTGAGTGCCTTGTGTTAAAATCTTCAAGGTGTGCTTTGTAAGGTTGAAGGCTTTGGAATACATCTCTCACCCATTTACACATATATATGCTAGTGCTGACCAAGTTTGGTTTCCAATCTTGGAACTTATCATTCATCTATCATTTTGTCCTTTCTTTCCCGATGATTATTCTCATTATCAAGTATGCATAGTCATCGTTCCATGCCGAATTTGTATATTTATATACATATGACGTAGCAACTTCTTTCTGTCGCAGAGCTGCACCTGGTGGTAAAACAACATATGTTGCTGCTCTTATGAAAAATACAGGTATATTTTCATTTCTTGATATTTGCATTCTCTTGCTTGTAGGTGATATTTCATTAGCCATCTCGGATATGTGAGACCACCCGAGATTATCAAATATGTGAACTATAGAGGACCTCTTTGTCTATTCTTTTTTGACAGCTAGTTAAAGTTAGAACATGCAAAGACAAAAGGAATATTCCCACCTTAAGTAATCTTACAGCTTCTCAGAAGCAACGTGTTCTCACTTTGTAATTAACTGGGATTCCACATGCCCCATGATGATTGCTGAGGCCCCCGGTTGAAGTTTATTTGGTTTACTTTCAGCGCTCACACATGTCTTCTACTTTTATCATTGGCCAGGAATAATTTATGCAAACGAGATGAAGGAACCAAGGCTTAAGTCACTGACTGCTAATTTGAATCGGATGGGGGTGTCAAACACCATAGTTTGTAACTATGATGGTAGAGAGGTTGGTTCTTTAACTATTGGGTTTATTAGGTCTCCAGTTGGCGCTGTGGATTTCTAATCCGTTTTCCACTATCTTGTTGTAGCTTCCCAAGGTTTTGGGTGTCAATTCAGTTGATAGAGTGTTGCTGGATGCTCCCTGTAGTGGAACAGGGGTAAGTAGCACACGTAAATGGACATCTAATCTGATTTCACTGCCCTTGTAATGGTTGAAAACACATTCTTTCTGAATAACATGCAGGTCATATCTAAAGACGAGTCAGTAAAAACGTCCAAAAGCCTGGAGGATATAGAAAGAAGCGCGCAACTCCAGAAGGTAGATAGCTGAAATCTGTCAATCTAGCAACTTGTTATCAGCCTAATTGTATATTCATTTGTTGGCTAAGCTTTAATAAATATCCATTTGTTGCAGCAATTAATACTCAATGCAATTGACATGGTTGATGCAAACTCAAAATCTGGGGGATATATTGTTTACTCCACATGCTCCATGATGATTGCTGAGGTTCGTGGTGTTAGCAGGTTATGTTGTTGGATTTCATTGTTATCCTCCCCTTACATGCATTTTTCGAAATTCTTCCTGCAGAATGAAGCAGTCATTGACTATGCTCTCAAGAAGAGGAATGTTAAACTGGTGCCTTCTGGGCTCGACTTTGGCCGCCCAGGGTAATTCTAATTCTCCGCCAGCTGCTCCTATCTATTTACACATTCGAATGAAGTAATAAGAATGGTTTGTCTGTCTTTATAGGTTTACTCGATTCAGAGAGCACCGGTTTCATCCATCATTAGATAAGACTAGACGGTTCTATCCCCATGTAAACAACATGGATGGGTTTTTTGTGGCAAAGGTGTGGGATTTTATATTCATATTGCCATATAGCCAGCCCATTTTTGCTCATTTGGTCTTAAAGAATACGACTTTCCTCACCAGCACGTTACTTTTGTACCCTTTTCCAGCTGAAGAAAGTAAGCAATGCATTACCAACTGTCGCGGCTGCTGAAGCTGCGGAGTCTATAGAGCAAGCTCCAGTGTCCGGTGAGAAAGACGCCGTTGAGTCTGTAGAGGAAGCTCCAGTGTCCGGTGAGAAGGATGTTGTGGGCGAAAGAGTGGGGCCTTCCAAGGAAGACAGTAACAAGAAAAACAATGCAGGTTTGAAAAAACAAGCACACAAAAATGGGAATGGAGTATCCGAACCAGCAGCTGATAAACGCAAGGAGAGGAAGTTCCCATTCAGAAAGGAAGTCCCACGCAAAGCGGAAATCATAAAAGCCAGGTAGCTACTAATCAGAATGGTGATATATCTCTGGTTGTCTTTTCACCCATTTGAAGTTCCATGCCTGTTCTACCTAATGTATGTATATTGAAACAATCTGCAGGGAGGAGAAGAGACAAGCATTGAGGGGAACAAAAAGAAAAGCAGGAGGGAGCAAGTAGAGGAGGCCACCGATAACAGAAGCAAGAAAGCCTATATACGTTGGATGGAGGAATGCTCAGAACAGAATACTCTAATAGGATCATATGCCATGTTAAGTTATGTGGTTTCCATCAGCATGTTTGTTTGGAGGGGATGATGAGACTCTCCTTGTGCAAGAGTTTGTTGGTCCTCTTGCTTTCTTATGTAGCAAAATATTCAGCTTAAGCTTTTCAAGTCACTTATGGACACCCCCTCCCTTCTGTGGAGTGCCTGTGTCCTGAATTCACCATTTTGCTCTTGGGGGGTTGTTACAACCACTGTAAAATTTTGTTTCGTTTACCAAACAGCTCATTCGTTGTTGGAGTAATGCAGTCTCGTTTGTTATGGCAGGAAAGTTTTCCTGCTTAATTCTTCTTTGATGTCCATTTTGTCACCATTTAAGTAGATTCCCTCGCCCATTGTATATGACAAAGTGGATTAAACATGCCAGAAGAGGGGTTTACAAAGTGGTCAATAAACTTGTCTTTTCTTTAACGGGATTTGAGTTGGGCGGCAAGAATTGGACGGGACAAAGTCGGCTCTCTCTCAAACGTGAGCAGACGAGACACGGCTAAGAAGACAGAAGTCAATTCGTGGTCCTCATGACAATGTTTGTCATACCACCTGGCTGTAATCGTCACAGTCAACGTCGACAGATTCAATTCTCGGACAAGATGAAAGAATGAGGTAGAAATTAAGAAATATGATCATTGTTCGTGACTAGAGTTAGAGTATTTATATATACAGTGCTCAATTAAAAATCAAAATATTCCCATCATTGTGCATCTGTGCACCCATATTTTTTGGGGTCAATTTACCGAGATTTCTGTATGAAACTATGAATTAAGTGCAGGTATGGAGAATGTACAAAAAAAAATTTATTTACAGAAAATGGATGGAAACCCGAGAAAGTTTGCTAAAAAAATTACATAAAAGTGGATGATTTATAGATAGTTAAAGTAAATTTTTTTATCAAAAGGTGTAGTTCACACATTTTAAGTGAAAAAAAGAAGTTGAATTCAATTGGAGAAATTATAAAGACAATACAAAATTAATGGATAAGAGAGGATAAATCATATATCAGGTAAAACAATCTAAAATTATATGTTCTAACAATTTGTTCTTGCATTCATTGATTTCGACTTTTGAAAGGAAGAAAAAATTAGTCAAGACTCGCGAAATCTCTTCACTCCTTATACAGAAAATCCAGGTAAGGACAAGCATCCTTCACCCCATGGAGAAGATAATAAATCTTAAGTTCCTTTTTTTTTTATCATATACTAATATGCAAAATCATTGTGAATTGTGTTGTGATATTAATATGCTAGATTTCAGAAAGATAATAAACCTAATACTATACGGGAATCTCCATTCATGGCGTTTTTATTACCTGATTTGGAGGATCAATCATGGGCCAATCTTTTTCATGATTAACCTTTTGTTTTCGGCGAATATTCGATCTCCTCTATTTTAGAAGCGCATTCAAATGTTTGGTTCATCTCAGAAACAACGATACTAATGAACCTAGATTCTCTCCCTCGCCCCGTCCGTTGAATGCAGTTTTTTCATTTGTCAGACCGACTTTCCCCTTTAGAATCGCAGCTGTTCTTCAAAAGGGTCAGCTACAGACAAAAGAGAGAAAGCAGTTTCGAACAAGCCAAGAAGCTCTGTCTCTGTGATATACAAGTGTGTTGTTTACACAATAAAGTTCGGAGCTTTTGATCAGTTTTGTGTAGGGGAAGAGCAGCATAATACAGAAAAATATAATGGGTATGGCTAATCAAGAAGCGATCAAGCAGTTTCAGTCTCTGATGGACAAAGGTCAGCTCCGCATCAAAACCCATTTAGCTTTTCTCTCTTGACTTGTGGCTTTCTGGGTATATTTAGAGTTTTGATTGTCTGCTTCTGCTGATGGCAATTTGTTTATTTTCATTTGCTTTTCTTGATCTTACAAACAGTGGATGAGCCGCTGAAGAATAGTTTCAAGGTTAGTCTCCTTTCTCTTCTTCCCTTCGGTCTCCTCTTCTTTTCCCCCTCTGTTTACAATCAAGAGACTCATGGAGAAGAAAAGTCGGAGAAGATGAGGCTGAAAGCTGATCAAACTTAGTTTTGGAACAAAGTTGTCCTTTTCAGCTAATGAAAACTGTATTGAACCGACAGAAAGCATCTGCCTTTGCAGCTCTAGAATTTGTTTCAGAGAAGAACTTGATCTGGGTTTGGTTTGTTATCATTTAATTGTTTGGCATATGATTATATTTGTAGCCTTGTTTCAACGAGGTGGCCTTGGCAATTATACTTTCTGTGGTTTCAGTTTCTTTTGCTTGGAACAGAATTGTTTGTAGTAAGTTCTTTGTTGACAGTTACTGTAGGGAAGTTTGATTTGGTATATCAGTTGCTGAGAGCTGGTGGATTTAGGTATTCTTAGACGCAAATTTTGTATTTTTTGCTGATAATGAGACATATACCGGTTATTTTAACTTTTGAGTACTTTATCTGATTGGATACTATATGAGACAATAATATCTCACCAAAAAAAATATGAGACAATAATAGCATAAGCAAGAAGGGAACTTGATTATAATCTATGGAGCTGTTTCACTATTTCTGGATAAGTGACTTGGTAAAAAAGACAATTATTTGCTGAGAGTCTCAGTTCCGGCTATGATCAATGATAGAACTAGTTTGGTTGGCTGGTGTAAGCTAGGTTTCTCCAAGGATTCTCTTCTCTTATATGTGAGTTGTAGTATACCTGGGAATGAATTCAGCTGTGTAGTTGTATGGCTCTTAGAATTTGCTGAGTGTTTTCTTTACATTTAATGTTAGAGTCAGAACATAATTGTTTGAATGGGATTCATTCTTGTGAACCACAAGGCATTTCTGAATGAATGATTTATCGGTTGTCTGCAGAATGTGCACCAGGGATTTCTAACTGAAACTTTGACAAGATTTCTTAAAGCGCGAGAATGGAATGTTGCCAAGGCTCATAAAATGGTTAGGTTGATTTTATTATTATTCCATCTTGTCAATGTTCTCTCTTTCTTTTATATTTATATCCTTCTAGTGTTCATATGGTTTTCTATTTGTTCTTCTTGTCCATTGCTGCAGTTGGTTGATTGTTTGCAGTGGAGGGTACAGAATGAGATTGACAACATTTTGGCGGTTAGATCTTTGTCTTGATTACTAGAGTTGGACCGACCTACTTTCTTAGCATTTCCTTCCTTCTAGTTATCTTCCATATATGCAGAATGTGTTTTGCATACCTAGATACGTTTGCTTGGGAGAACATGTCATATGTTCTTGCTGAGTTTCTTTCTTATTGTTGACCAGTTCATTATTTTGTATTCAGAAACCAATTGTTCCTACAGAATTGTATAGATCAGTTCGGGACACTCAGCTTGTAGGATTGTCAGGTTATTCGAAGGAGGTATGGTCTGATTTTATAATAAATAAATCTATCTATGTACTTGTAGCATAATTGGCTTATTGTTCCTTAAGAAAATAGATCAACCGACTGTTCCTTATGTATTACCTTGAAGGGTCTCCCGGTTATTGCTGTTGGTGTGGGGCAGAGCACCTATGACAAAGCTTCTGTAAGATTCTTACACCATTAGTATATTCCGTTGGTTGCATTTGCATACATCCAATGTGGCTTTGAGGTTGAAAAACTATGCTGGTTGCTGAGATAAATGAGGAATCTGTTTCTCCTGACTTGAAAGTGTGCTGCAAAACCATGGCCATGTTGTAAACTGTAATAGTAATAGCAATTTATGTATTCTACCCCTCATATTCAGGTTATTATCTTTTGTTGCTTTTCAGGTACATTACTATGTGCAGTCCCACATCCAAATGAATGAATACCGGGATCGTGTAGTATTGGTGAGTCGAAATTTTGGCCATTTAGATTTCATTACTCATTTGCTTTTCGTGTGATGAAGCATTACAAGTTGTCTATTGTAGCCTAACGCAACCAAGAAATGGGGAAGGCGCATTGGCACATGTATTAAGGTTTTGGATATGACTGGTCTAAAGCTTTCAGCACTAAATCAGATAAAGGTACATTCAATCTTCCAATGTTTGATTTGCATCTCTTCCATTCTATAGGCATTTATAAATCTCCCTTGTCTGTTGATCTCTGAATGCAGTTATTAACTGCAATATCTACAATTGATGCCTTAAACTATCCAGAGAAGACAGACACATATTACGTTGTCAATGTCCCATACATATTTTCTGCCTGTTGGAAGGTTCTCATCTATCTCTCTTTATTTTCACAGCATTTCTAGTATCTATTATAAACCCATATATAATGGTGTTCACCAACCTCTATACATTCGTTGGCAGGTTGTGAAGCCTTTATTACAAGAGAGGACAAAGAAAAAGATTCAGGTGCTACAAGGTTCTGGGAAGGAAGAATTGTTGAAGGCAAGGAAGGCAATCTGTTTGTTCAGGATCGGTCAAAAATACTTTTTTCACCGCTTCCATTGGAACTTAACTTTTCTTTATTTTTGAATGCAGATAATGGATGTTAACTCACTCCCTCACTTCTGTAAACAAAGGGGTTCTGGTTCTTCTCGTGTTGTTGCTGCTGCAAATGGAACCACCACCACCACAAACTGCTACTCGTTAGATCATGCCTTCCACCAGCAGCTCTACAACTATGTTAAGCAACAAGCTGAGCAGGAGGAATCCTATTCACGACTTCTCAAACAAGGCTCGGTCCATGTGAATTTCCCTGCGCCTGACCCCGAAGGTGCCATGATCGCGACGAGGATAGAGTCCGAGCTCCACAAGCTAGGTGATTCCAATGGTTTCAACAACTCGTTCAGCAGACTCCAGGTGAATGGCATGTGAAAAGAGCTGAAACAAGGAATGAATGAACATATAGGGATATTTAATTTATTTACTGATTTCTCACCAATATTAAGTGGACTAGAGAGAGGCAGAGAGATCCAGGCCTCCGCAAAACTCGAGAAAGATGGTGAAAGTTGTCGACTTTGTACTAAGGTTATTGAGTGTGTAGCCTTTCAATTTGTTGCATCAGCTCGATGCACATCTTGCAGAGTAAGTTGAGGGGCTAAGACGAGAAACATCTTAGGGTGGAATGATCTTCTTGTGACCTCCCTCTATATTATTTTATAAGGAATTACTTGCTTCAGAAGAGCTTTACTCATTTTGCACATTGTCTTGGAGCCACTATAAAAAAATTGCAACTTATGGTTGTTTGTATGTTCATCAGAAGAGCTTTAATTAATCCTTCTTAGCCACATTTTGGTTCTTGAACTTAAAATGGGATTAAAGACAAATTTCCTTGATTTTTTTCAGTCATTTCTCAAACCCCCTCATTTCCATAAAGACTCTGACACCCAGCCATCTTATCAATTGCTTTTGGAACTCTTCTGATGGTTGAGTGCAGGCTGTATACATCCAACATGTTCAGAGAGCTATTTGGCATTATGAAGTCTTTAGTAGAGATGAATGAATAAGTAGAGAAAGCTTCACTTTGTAAACCCAGAACAAACGGTAGGAAAGGATTAATTTACAGATTCTTTGAACTCACGAGTTTTGCTTATGAAGATTAGTTACAACAAAAAAAGAAAAACACGCACAAACACAAAAGGAAAGGAATTGGAATGATTTAACTCAGCTGTTTGTAGCATTTGTATGCAACGGCAACTGACGCGACGGCACAAACCACAGCAGCAGCTGCATATGTATCTTCAAGCTCCCAGCTCTCTAGCCATGTTGGCTTTCCACAAACTCTATGCACTAGGGACTTCTTCCCACTATTACGACGGGAGATCAACTTCTTGTTGCTCTTTTTCTCCTCCAATAGAGATAGCTTCCCTTCTTTCGGCTTGTTGTTTTCTGTTGAGATAGGCTTTTGACTGCAAGAAGCAGAGTTCCCATTTTCCTGGCAGCGACCTCCAGTGGCGTCGGGTCCAGAAACAGTGCCTGCTGCAACACTTGCTTCAGCATCTGTTTTTCTTAGTGTCACTTCATTGCTATCCACCAAATTATTCCCGTTCAGTTGCAGCCGTTGTTCTTGCCACTTAATCTGATCCTCTACTGGCAAACCCATCTGGCCCCTGAATCCAGCATTAACGTATGGCATTATCGAGCAGTTCGACATAGAAATAACATTAATGACATTATAGGCATATTTCAATCATCAGGACGTGACTCATTGCACCTCCTCATTGATCGACTTAGATACTGTCTCAATGTTTCTTGTTTATACAATTATGTCTCACTTCACAATTATAATGACTGAACTTGCTTTGAATTAAGTATGGAACTTTTTATTTGTTCAAAACTATTGGCAAGAAACAAAAGAATACCTCCACAGCCAATCGACAATCTCTCCTCTACCAATGTGTTGTTCGAGAAATATGGGCACATCATCTGGAGTAACATATCCATACCTGTAAGGAATTCCCAAAATCTTTCAGAGGAGAAAAATAAGAGAACAAAATTCGCACGTATATAAAAAATGTATTTGGATCTCATAATTACCAGTGTCCAGTGATGCCTCCACTAACACTTGATCCGAAAATGATGATGTTTCCAGCATATTTATGGCCCCCAATGTGTGAGCATGCACTAACAGAGACTCTAGCTTGCAGACCACGAACTTCTATCTCTTCTTTAAATCTTCCAATTATGGCCGGACCACAAACGCCACAACGGCGATCTCTGGAGGCATGAGAGCATACAAACACATAGCAACCATGAAGCTTTTCTGGAGTTCCGGGCATCCATTCACCATCTTTGACCAGCACTTCCTCCACAAATGTGTCGACGTCAAAATGTGTTAACCTCCTGCATCATCATTCACTTGGTAAAATCAGTATTTACTAGGAGGAAGCAGAGCATCAAAGAACAGGAACTATAGGAAAAGAGTCAAACTGATTGACCTGTATCTGACCATGTCAGGAAAGATTAACACATCCCCATTTGAGGTTTCTGTTCCATCATGTCCCTCACATATTGTTAGACGGGTCTGGAATGACAACAGCAAAAATTGGTGAAGCAAAAGAGATTCAGATATTATTATTCATGAGCCAGGCGTTGAGTTGATGGGGGCTATTTACAAACTGCACTTGCAGAAGACTGAAATAGGTGGCACTCAGGCTCATTTCCGGCCATCTAATTCTACTAAATCAAGACAATAAGAGCAACTAGACCATTCCAATCTTTACAGACACAGCACATGACCAACTATACTTGCAACTAGCACTGAGTAGCAACAAAGCAAAACTGCAGATTTTTATACAAGATGCTCACATGCGATTCCCCAGTAACTGGAAAGTGAATGAGAAACATCAACATCAGATTGTATGTCATAAATCATCTGAAAATCAGTCATGTTGTGTGAAATTGCTCACTTGGAACCACACCAATGTAGAGATATAGAGGCAAGCGCCATAATTGGAACAAGTGAATGTAACAATGACCCTCTATCAGGGCGAAGAAACCACTCAACCCTGTCAGCAAGTTGTTAACAAAACATAACTAAGGAGTTTGAGAATAAAAGCAGCAAATAGAAAATAAATACATGAACGGTTCCTTGCAATGCCTAACCTTTATGATAAAGAAGATGAAAACTCAGTCATGGACCCTGTCAGGCTGTCACCACCTAAATGACACTGAGCAGGTCCCTATCCAACACATTCAATCACACTCCTCGACACTACTGTGAAAGTCTTTACTCCAAGTCGGTACACAAACTACAACAACTCAACAGAAGACCCAGACGTCAGGAATGAGTTCAACTGGACACCAAATCACATTTCTTTCACGAAAGATCAAACCCCAAAACTACGCTACCAAAAACTCAATTTCCATTCAACTAAAGGGAAAACCTTCAACACACCTCTTTCTTCATATCAGCTTTCCTTGCAGTGACGGCAGCAGAGAGCAATCTCGGCAGGCGATCAAACTCGGCAGCCTCAATCCGCTGAGGCCAAACAGAAGGGTTCTTGTAACACAAAAAGACATGGCGCTCGTAGTACTGCACGGTGCCGACAAGCGGGCTCTGCCTGAAGTCCGGCCGAGAGAAGCCGAATTCGGCGTCGATATTGGCAGCGGCGGCGGCGGCGTCGTTTAGGAAACCCGGGTCGTTCTGGAAACTGCTGGAGGCGCTGCCGATGAGGGAATTGTTGGATGGGTCGGAAGAGAGGAAGGCGGCGGCGGGGTCGAGGTAGTCGGAGACTGTGATCGGAGAGGACGAGGAAGAATGGATGTTGTTTGGGTAGGAAAGTGGATCTTCTCTATGATGGCTTCCCATCACCGACGAGCAGAGGAGAATCGGAGAAGTGGAAAGATCGGAGGGTGGCTGCGGTTGGGGTGGAATAATGGGCTTGGACCACCGTGGGAGGCAAAAGTGAAAAATGTCACTCGGCAAGAGTGAGCGACTGCTGCTGAAACTCAGAGAGGGCCGAGTTGTGTCATGTGTGACGTTTAGTTGTTTCCCACTTTCTGATTTTCGCCTTTTCTCCCTTAGCTTAGAGAATCAGAATGGGCTAAGATTCTCCTAAGATTAGGTGACTAAGGGGGTCTTTTAGTCACATCACTAAACCAATCTCAATCATTGAACCTCATTAAAATTTAATGGTTCAGATTTATCTAGTTAAACGAAGGGCATACTAGTAATTATACAATTTATTTATTTGGAAATTGAAATAAAAAAATTAAGCTGCTACGTATCTTCCCCGCCGTCCGGAATTTTCTGCACATCGTCGCTGTCCCTTGGCGGCTTGGGATTTTCCGGCGTTCCTCCCTGCCGCTGTTGCCCAGCTCCGGTCGGGTGATTTTTCGTTCCTCCCTGCCGCTGTTGCTTTTCATTCCTCCCTGCCGCCGTTGCTTCCCAAATTGGCGGGCTATTAATATACTTTGGCGCCTGGGAATATACTGGGGTACTTTTCCCCAACCTTTTCCCCAACTTGGAGAGGGATGGAGGGAGGAGGAGAGAGAGAATTTCTTGGCGACAGTGTTGGATTTGTGATGTTTGCTGACCTATTTTGTAATATTTGTATAGATTCGGTTTGTATTGTTTGTCATTTTTAGTGACATTTTGTACGGTTAGTATGCTTTGTACTGTTTGTTGGTTTATTTTGTAATGTTTGTACGCTTTGCTATTTTGTAATGTTTATCGGCTTTTTTTGTAATGTTTGTTATTTTTGCGCACCATGTTTATCATTTTTTATGTCTAAAAAACAACCTGGTTGACTTTTGGATGGAACTCCTCTATATAGGGATGGAGCCTCCAAAGTCAACCCTGGTGTTTTTCCAGTTCGTATGGATTGTCGGTCTAGTTTGTCATTTTTGTCCACCATGTCCGTAATGTTTGTATGTATAAAAAACAACCGGGTTGACTTTGAGACGGAGCCCTCTATATAGTGATGAAGCCTCCAAAGTCAACCCGAGTGTTTTTTCCAGTTTGTATGAATTTTTGGTCTAGTTTGTCATTTTTGTCCACCATGTTTGTATGTCTAAAAAACACCCGGGTTGACTTTGGGAAGAAGCCCCTCTATATAGGGATGGAGCCTCTAAAGTCAATCCGGTTGTTTTTTCTTTTTGTATGGTTTGTATTGTTTGTCGGTCTAGTTTGTATTGTTTGTACAGTTCATACGTTTGTAATGTTTGTATGTTTTGTCGCTCTAGTTTGTACTGTTCGTATGTTTGTATGGTTTGTACTGATTGTAAATCCGGTTTGTATACTTCGTAATTTTCCATAATACCCAAACTACCCCTGTCATTAATTAAATAGTCCTTCCCACTTTTTAACCATTGGATTGAAGTGTCCAGATCTAATGGCTAGGAGGGGCTTAGTCAAGTGACTAAGGACCCCCCCTAGTCCTGGGATCCGCTCTCAATCAGAATTGAGATATTTTACATCAATTTTCTTCTTATTTTTCCTTTTTTATTATTCCTAGATATGCGAACGAGTGCTAGTCTAGTTAGTGAATCGCCGCATTTAGGGGTGTACATGGTGGTTCGGATTTGGCCATTTTAATCATCCAATTTATATATTACGGTTTAGGAAATATTAAACACAAATTCACCAAAAAAATTTAACCTTACGGTTTGTTTCTAATTGGATGGGTCGGGTTGGCAATATTTTAAGTAAAAATCCAATCCAACCCAACACAAAATATGTAATTATTCTACACCATAAAAATATGTAATTTCAAACGAATAAATCGAGGTGAAAGGTATCAAAATTCACAAATGTTGTTTGAATTTTAATAAAATGTGATTTAATTCAACATATGTCTAGTTTTTTCACGACATTTTTCGAAATAGGCTAAAAAGGATATAAACAAACGCATCCATAATATGTTATTCTATTAAAATTGTACACAAGAAAAAAGATTACGTGAATCATAGGTATATTAAATTTATGTCTAAACTTTAAGTCCAAGAATGCATTAGATTAGGGAGACCATGAGAGAAAAACATGATGAAATATCTTAATTTTCTCACAAGTATGGCTATATACGACATAAATATTTTTTGGATACGAACTCATATTTATAGTTGGAACACGGGTTGGGTCGGGTTCTACAGGTTGTGTAATCCAAACCCAGCCCAAAAGAGATGGGTTGTACAAAAGAAAACCCTCACCGAACCCAAAACCTTCATTTTAGCGATAATTAAGGGGTCGTTTGCTTCATGGATTTAAAAATGAGGGTTTTGTAATTTAAAAACCCAAGGATTTATCAAGGATTTGAGGCATCATGGATTTGTAACAATCCTTTGTTTGTTGGGATGTTTTTATCATGGATTTAAAGGTGTGGGATTTACTACTTGAAGTCAAAAATTACATTACTGCCCTTTTCTATATGTTTGACATGTTTATGATATGTACACAAAACAAGTACAAAACTTCAAAATTACCTTACTATCATTTTCTATATGTTTGACATGTTTATGATATGTACACAAAACAAGGACAATACATACTAATAAGCATAATGGTGCCACATGGACAATAATAATAAACGAGAAAATTCCGTTTTAACTTTTAACGTAACATAATCAATTACCAATTCTTTGTCCTCCTTTTCAAAAGTGACATATAACAACATATATTAGAATCGGGAGAACAAAGAATTATACGTTCCATGAAAAGGTCAAAGAAAACTAGAACACAAGAAATGATATAAAAAATCTAACTCATGTTTGCACATTAATTGAACGTTTATATTATTCATTTATTGTTAATTATAATGTATAATAGTTAAATTTGAGGGCAACCTTGGAATATTAAAAGTGCATGAGGGTATATGGGTAAAATCTCATCAAGGATTTATGCCATATTCCAAATCCCACATCAACATGTGGGATTTATAAGTCCGTGGGGTCCACGGATTTGGACACTTAAAATCCGTGGGGCCCACGGATTTGGTCTCCAAAAAAGATGCAAGCAAACAACGGATTGTACCTAAATCCTTGATAATTGATTTTTTGGTACCAAATCCATGTACTAAATCCTTGAAGCAAACGACCCCTAAGAGTGAGTTGGTCAGGTTGGACGGGTGGGTCGGTTTGCGGGTGTGTTTGTTCACCCCTAGCCGCATTTGCTATTGTAATTTGTATGGTTGCGGGGTAAATGCCAAGTTTGGTCACTGAGTTTACTAAAACATGTCATGTTTAGTCAGTGGAAAAAAGTCATATCAATTTTGATCACTCGAATTAGTAAAACGATCTACGTTTAGTCACTCTCCGTTAACTTTATCTGATATGGCAGTCAACCCTAACAGTTGACCATTAAAACTGAAATGTCTGATGTGACAATTAAAAATATAAAAAATAAATTTATTTCTTTTAATTTTTCCACATCATTAAAATAAATAACTAAATAAATAACCCTCAAGCCTTGATGCTGTTATTATTACCGCCATCAACCGCCATCATTCCATTTATACCGCTTCTGAACCCCAGGGAGCGACGCTCCCGGCGACGGTACCTGTTGAGGAAGTACAAATGTGTGGTGATTGGGGAGAATCGGAAGTACCAGGCCGCCGGAGAAGAAGAGGAAAGAAGGCGGAAGGCGACGATCTTCACATTTCCCCGCGCTAGCTAATTAGCTATGGAGGAACCCTAATTTCACTTAGATCGCCGGAATAATTTCAATGGATGCGTTCAGAGATTATAACACCCAGCCGCATCACCAAGCAGGAAGAGGACTCCATCCTCGTCTCCGCCTTCAAGCACATCATTTCAGGTGCCGACGGTCTCACCCCGGAACAACTAACCCTCATCTTCTCCTCCTCTTCTTCTTCCGCCGCCGCTGCCGTCGTTCCGCCTTCGGTTGCGGCGGCGACCGCCGCCTCTTCATCCTCCCTCCCTTCGTGCAACGACGGGATCACGAAGAAGAAGGCGAGGAAGAACAGGTACAGAGGGGTGCGACATCGGTCGTGAGGGAAGTGGGCGGCGGAGATTCGAAACCCTGAGAAGGCCGTCAGGCTCTGGCTCGGGACTAGAGGTGGCAATTTCAATCCAATCCACCAATCCAATCTATCAATCCATTAAAAATATCCACCTAATCCAATCCATTTAAATCCAATCCATTTGATCCAAATCCTATTGGATTAGTGGATTCATGGATTGGATCAATGGATCATTGGCAAATTACGGTTTAGTACCTATAATTTTTATTTTTTACATTTTGGTACCTAAAATTTAATTTTTTATACGAAAAATATCATTGGAAAATTACGTTTTGGTACCTAAAAATTTTCATTGTGACATTTTAGTACCTAAATTTTTTACATTTTACATATTGGTCCTTGGTTGAAGATGTCATTTGGATTCATGGATAATCCACCAGTCCACTTGATCCAATCCATGAATCCACCAATCCATTAGATCCAATCCATTTGATCCATGATCCACCAATCCAATCCATTTGCCACCTCTACTCGGGACGTTCGAGACGGTGGAGGAAGCCGCCAGGGCCTACAACAGGAAGGCCATCGAGTTACGCAAGGAACGCGCCTAGACTAATTTCCCGACGGCCGAGTGCGCCGGAGATCAGACAGTAGTGGTAATAATTCGGTTGATGGCGGTGATAATAACAACATCAGGCCTGAGGGTTATGTATTTTAGTTTATTATTTTAATAATGTGGAAATATTTTTTTTTAATTGCCACGTCAGATATTTAACGATCAATTGTTAGCTTTGATTGTTACATAAGATAAAGTTAACGGATAGTGACTAAACGTGGATCGTTTTACTAATTCGAATGATCAAAATTTATATTATTTTTTTCCAGTGACTAAACATGACACGCATTAGTAAAACCAGTGACCAAACTTGACATTTACTCTAAGGTTGTGTGTTCGATTTGCATCGACAACATTTTCCCAAAGTTCAAATATATAAGAGATTGAAACATACAC